TGATATTTTTATAAATTAGGAAAAATAAAAAACTATCGTGTTCAAGTTTAAAACAAATATTGGTATTTTTTTATTCTTGCCCACAACTGAGAAAAACAATTTTGGGAGAGCGAGAAAGTAAGATAGACAGAATAATGAATAATATCTCCAAAAATTAAAAGTGGGGGGAGGCAAGTCTTCCTGCGTAAAACAATTTTCACTAAAACAAGACCAACTTTCTTCCAATGAGCATAATTATTGTTATTATCATAAAATTAACCATTTAAAACTCTTCTTCTCCCCACCAAAAAAAAAAAATTACAACATGGAAACGCTTATGTAAAAAAAGCTAAATCAATCTGCTAATCTGATAAGCACGTGGATACTACAGAGACAGACGTACATGAAAATCGCATATTCTCGTTGTATTTACTTCCCATACCAAGTAAATTGCATGTAATTGGCCCGAAGAAAGCAACTAATAGTCATTTCTACATATAAAAGGTAATTTATGTGTTCATTATGTTGATACATGTCATACACAGCTTAAGAAGAAAAAAAACGTTCTCAATCACCATTTGCCTGGTTCACACAGAAAAAAAAAGTTCATAGTTATATGGACAGAAATAAACAAGTTTCAAAGTAACTTTTACTGCAACGTCTGTTCGTAGTTGAATATTTTACTCGCTCTAAAAGCACTCAACAAAGAACCTTCCACCCTCAAAAAAAAAAGTGTGGCAGATGTGTGGTTGACATATATCCTCCTTCGATTCCACTCACGAGTTCTTAGAATTCGAGCATCACCATAGCAATTCGTATTTTGTTATTACTACTAGCTTGGTCAGAGTTCCTTGTTTTTGTCGTTTTGAAGTGCCTATTCTTTTTCTTTATTTGAATAATAGCTTACCTTTACTCACAGTTTTAAGTACAAGAATTGGCACTACAATATAAAATGATACCGATAATTCATGGGATTCTTATTGCTGGTCATTTATTCGCATTTAGTTCTTATATATATTATATATTTTACTTTTAAAACTTTCAATCTACGGTTTCGTGATTTTTTTGTGTGTTACATAAATGGCGAAACAGCGTTTCTGTTAATAACCCTCTATGCTTTATTTCATTACATACGCTACAGTTGTGCCAGAAATTTAATATCGTAAACATATTTTCTGAGAGATACACAATTATTCCTTATATATCAGAAGGTCATTCTAGGGTTACTCATTCTCAAATAGCCTGATTAATTATTGGTTATTTTATTTCCAGAAGCAACTCAGTTTAACGAATGGTGAAAAAGACTGGTATTGTTGTGGTGTTGGCTCCTAGGGGCGCTGCTTCGGTGTAGGTCAACTGACAAGTTCCACACGTGGCCGTGGGGTCTCGTGAAGAACTCAACGGTTTGGGTTGAAAATCTTACGAATAAGCTTGGCTGGATTTGGCTGCCTTGACTTTCTAGACTTAGACAAGGGTAACGTTCTGCATTTCTGTTAGGGTTTTAGTAAATTTACTCGTTTTCTGCTTGCTATTCGGCTTTAGATGTACAAAAAATTCTAATTACAAGTAACTTCTTTATCTCATTTTGTTGCGCTCGCTTCATATATATATTTATCATACTAACTTTAGGGTCAAAGCTGTATACAAGATTTAAAAAGCAGGTATTTATAATGGTTTATATCATTAAATGGTTACTTCTGTTCATTTTCAAATTGTATATCTTATACTTTTGATATTAACAAATCAAGTATGTAAATAAGATAACAAATATATATTATTCTTTTTAGTTATTTCAGAGACATTGTTTTACTGGATTAAGTGAATATAGGGGGCAAAACACGTGACACACTGGTATCGGGAAAATTATGTAAGGAATGTATTAAAGTAGACGCGAAACGTATCGCGTTTCATTCTGCTGCCCATGTGACTCAACGGCATGTTAATAGTTAATTCACTACCCTTTCGTAAAGACACAAACGCCCAGAACAAAACGTGAATAAATAAATAAGATTGTTTTTTTTTCTAATTTCGTGAAACTTCATGAGGGATTGGAGCCAAATGATAAAACTTTAAAATATAATTACGTTACCATGACGTATGTGTTTATAAATTGTTCTGATTAGTGTTGCATTCCTAACACGTACCATAAGGTATGTCTCCATGCTTGTGTTTTAAAAAACAGCTAAAGCTAATTGTACTGAAGTTATCTTTCAGGAACTAAATTTACCCGGATTTAGAGGTTCACCACGTTTTGGTAGCTTCTCAACTGACACTCATTCATGTTAGTTTCATCATATTGGCTAATCACACTATCTAAGAGTTTCAAGGTATATTATATATATTAGAAATCATTGTTAGCCATCCTGTATTTTTGTTTATTATTATTAAAGTAATGCATACTGAAAAATATATCATATTTGGAATATAATATATGACTAGTACATTAATGTCTTGGCTGCAGGAATATGTATATATATATATCTTTTATTTCTGAGTATTTCTTACAAGTCTTTTCGGTTTTCCATGGGCCAATCCCAATCTAATAACAAACAATCCCACACAAAATTATGTGCTCGTGTTGTAAATTAATTATCAAGTGACCCTCCCACAATAGTGAGAAAAAATAATAATGATAAACTACCTTAGAGAAACTAATGAAAAAACGTTCTTAAAATAAAAAAAAATAAAATGAATACTTTGGTAAACGAATAAAACGTTACTAACAATACACCAACACATCGAGATCCAGAGTTACTTTTATGTTTGACTATATTTAAATTTTTATTAGGCACAGATAGTATATTACTGAATGTATACATGTTTTTACTATGACATTGTATTTCAATATTCTAGAGAAAAAGAAAAGCTTCGATTCGTTACACCTTAGATAAACTAAGTACTGTCCCGACTCCTAGCTACCACACCCAGATAATAAAGTTTGTTTCGATAAAACGGAGTAACTCGAATTTCGGTATATTTTAACAAGTTTATGATATACACATTTTTATTATAAAACATACAAACACAAAACCTTCAATTTCTAAATAGTTTAGCATAACGCACTAGCTAGAACTAAAACGATGACGTGAGTCTCAGTAACTTAATAAAATCAATTAGTGATTAATATATACATATGACACTTACACTGGGTCCATCGAACCACTGGTCACTATTTGATGCTGCGCAACGGAGTATCCAAAGTACGATCCTTTTTCACCTTGCTTTATAATCGGTATTCGTTGTTCTAAATTAAAGCCTTTAACTTTTAGCAGGCCTAAGTGCCAAAGTAATAGCATAGAGAGTAGAAAATTAAGATATCGTTCCCTCCACATGTTCTTGGTTTTTGATCTAACTTACTACCTACAGAACAGAATCGGGCTAGAGCACTCGGCGAATGATTTCGGTTAGTCACCTAACGTCCCATACGATGATATCACCAAACTTCCCTGATTTAATGTCGGTTTAGAACTAGCGTCCTCTAATGGGGAAAACTAACACCATAATAAAAGTCATAATATTGAAAAAGCTCAATAGCTAAATAAAGTACCTTGTAAGTAAAGCTGAATCATTTCTTTATTGTCGCATCACCATACATAATATACTATATGTATCCGATAATAAATATTATTTTCGTAAAAAAGCTCAATTTAAAATAATGTAGAGATAAATAAATTGTACACATTAATAGTCCCTAATGTTACAAGTATTGATAAACTAAACACATTTCAGGTTTCATAATTTTTAATTTTATGATGTAACTAGAAAGTATAAAGTTTACAAGAGAATCGCAAATAATTAAAAGGAACACACTGAATAAACTATTACGAACAGTATTATGTAACTTTGTGTGTATTTAAAATATAATATGTTTAATTAAGAAATACAACAATAGAAACTTTCTGAATTAATTATTCATTTCTGTAGGTTCCTAACTAAAGTTTAATATAATCTTTGTTTCTTTTTGAGTTTCGCGCAAAGCTATTGGAGGGAAATTTGTGCTATCAATCTGTAATTTTGGTGGGATAAACTAGAGAGAAGGCAGCTAGTCAACAACATCCACCGCCAACTGTTGGGCTACTCTTTAACCAACAAATAGTTGGATTGACCGTAATATTGTACTGCCCTCACGGAGGAAAGAACGAGCATTTTTGGTAACGGGATTCGAATTTATGACCCTCTTGTTGGGAGCCGAGTGCTCTAACCATCAGATCATGATACATAGTAGAGATAAAAATTAATAATATCCTTGCAATGTCAAATATTACGTAAATAATCATTAATGTACAACCCATTTTTTATTACGCTTGTTAACGTAACGAGAGCAAACAAAAGATTTATTCGTTCATAGGTTTAATTATAGGTTTTCCTAATTTCTATCTATCTTCCTCTATATAGATAAATTTATAATATACATTATAAGATCGTATTTGTTGTAGTTATAAAGTGTCATAAATATTCCGATGTATTACTTTTTTAATTACACAAGGACTTATACGCTCGCTTTCAATATAAAAAAACTAATTTATTACCAGAATATACACAGAAATGCGCTTTATGTATATGTGTATATTTAGGTTATGTTACAGAAATATATGCCTTGTGTATTAATGTCAAGAGTACTATTTTATCTGTTAAGACTTCAGAGACCCCCCCCCCCGTGTTGCCTCAAATTCACAATTGTGTTTTTACCTCTCTTTTTTTTTTTCGTAATGTAAAGAATTGTAACACTTAAACATACGTTCTTGTTTTTCTGTTGGTATTTCTATATCACTTACGACTTTATTCAATATGATTAAAATCAAGAGGACAAACATACTGAAATTCTAAAACAAGCCTTAGCCGTAAAACGATCAATAATGTTAACGGAACCTGTAGATGCTGCTGTCCTCTGGTAGGTCAGCAGTAGATTTACAATGCTAAAATTCTGTGCTCGATTCCCCTCGGTGGACAGAGCACAATGGCCGTTTGTGTAGCTTTGCGCTTAAACAAATAAATAATCTCTGGCAATCCGTCGCAGTAAAGAATAACAGTCTTCCATGATGATCTTATCTGGTTCCCAAAGATGGCTGATGAGGCCAATCCGGGATCGACAGATTCTGTTGCAGCTGGGTCATGTGCTTTTGAGTAGATTGGTTGTTCTGATCCACGATTCGATGTCTCTGCCGATCCCGCTTTTCCAACTCCTATTGTCGTCGCATGATTTCACAATACTGAGATCCATTCAGCAGGCTCCTCCACTATTAGGTTATCTTGGACAACAGTCTCTCAAGAGTTGATGTCGTTGTTACATTTCTTGATGTTGGTCTTGAGGACATCTTTGAAGTACATTTTCTGTCCTCTTATTGAACGTACGCTAGGAGAAAGAAAAAACTTGCTTCGGGAGTCAAGAGTTGGAGATCCGGACGACGTGGCCGGCTCAGTGAAGTTGATGTCGGATGATCAGTGCTTAAGATCATGGATGTTACCATGATGTCTTATGCTTATTTTTCTGGTGTAGCAGGGTTTTCCCAATCCTTCCTTGCCAATGGTTCCATTCCAAAGGTTCGAGTCCCTTCTCACTCTTGTGCTCCAGAATGCTAGAAAGGACTTGATTAAGACTGGAGTAAAATTCCTCCTTGATTTCACTGTCCGCGGCAGGGGTCGGGCATACATGCTGATGGCAGTGGTGTATCGGCTGCCTCATATCGCCCGAGTTCTTGGGCCACTATTGCAGTGCAGTATTCTGGGCGTTCACTGTTATGAAGGTCTTTATGTTCCAGTTCCCCAAATTGATTTTGCGACTTGTTGAGTTCGATCGCAGTAAAGATAATCCCACTGGACACGTTATCCAATCAGGAAAAGGTTGGACAGACTATGTTTAGGGAACCTTTTCCAACCCCCCTCCCTATGTGGGGTGTCTGCTCTCGAAGTCACTTTCCGAAAGGCTTGTAGAAAGTTCTGGAAGATGTTGCTTCCATGGAAGACGCCTGTCCGTAACTTCTTTTATAGTAGAAAAGCCCTTGCACCGTTTCTTAGAAGTTTCTTGTCATATCGTGGCCGTGATGCAATGGCAAGAAGACCGAGACAATTGGTAGCCTCGCTCTGCTACAGCCTTCATTCGCCTTCATCGCCATTGAGGTTCCCAAGAAATAATATGCTGCCATCTATTGGGAAAGATTACCTCAATTAGACATATTTTTTTAAGCAACACACACTTCCCACTTATTAGTATTTTTTAATTCTACATTTTAATAGAATTATTACCATAAATTATTATTTACTTTTTTTAAACGTTTTCACTATTAGAAAGTATTATAAGTACAAGAAGCGAAACGACACATATAAATATCTGAATTATTGCTTATCAAAAGAGAGAAATAAAATTGTTGGGAATATTTTGCTTATAAATATTGAAAGTATTGAAGTAAATTTGCATAGTCTTTTTCATTATGTAGCCCAAAAATTCTAGAAAAAAATGCACAATTTTACGAAACTATTATGATTTTGTTTGTTTCAGATTATCGTGCAAAGCTACGCAAGGGTTATCTGCGCATAGCCGTCCCTTATTTTGAAGTAATAAACTAGAGGGAAGGCAGATAATCAATAGCACCCCTCGCCAACTCTTAGACTAATATTGCCTAATCGAATAGTGGAAGGCCCGACATGGCCAGATGGTTAGGGCGCTTGACTCGCAATATGAGGGTCGCGGGTTCGAATCCCCGTCCCACCAAAAATGCTCGCCACTTTCAACCGTGGAGACGTTATAATGTGACGGTCAATCTCACTATTTGACGGTAAAAGGGTAGCCCAAATTAGTAACTTCTAGCGCAGATAGCCCGCGTGTGTAGATTTGCGCGAAATTCACAATAAACAAACCGAATAGTGGAATTTTTACCGTGACTCTTTTTGTGTCCTCCGGTGGGACAGCGGTAAGTCTAGGGACTTACAACACTAAAATCTGAGTTTAGTTTCTTTATGGTGAACACAGCAGACTTTGCTATAGAAATAAACAAACAAACACTGATAGCGCATCTATGGCCCCAAAGAGTAGTTCGTATTGTTTTTGTTTTCTGTTTGCAACAACGAAAAGCGAACGATGAAACTTAAGTTTCCAAGTCCAGGCACGCTAATTATTAGGTCATGTCGGTCGAAAATAACTGGTATGAGTTTTATAAATTTCACTTTTTTGTTTGTTTTGTTCTTCCCTTAGCACCCTTAAAGAAAAAAGAAATGTATGAGTGTGTCTAACATACAATCTTATTGTTATAGCCATAGCAAAGTTAGACCCGTACAACGTCACTCTAATCACCTGAAGACCAAGTATCCAATTGAACACTTTTTTTTATCCTTTTGTTATGCAGGCACTTAATGCCGGACAAGTTTAAGGCTAATTGATGGTTTTAGAGAAACACTAATGATTTACAAACAGAATGATTGTTTGTTTGGTTGGTTGAAGTTAAGCATAAAGCTACACAATGGGCTATCTGTGCTCTGCCCACCACGGGTATCGAAACCCGGTTTCTAGCGTTGTAAGTCCGCAGACATACCGCTGTGCCAC